GAGGGCTGGGTTCCCCATGCTGGCTGCTGCACATCACAGCTTCCTCCCAACTCTAAAGGACACGGAACTGTTCCCCTGGGCGCTCCTCTCCTGCAGCTGAATCAGACCATCGGGGTGGGTGCTGGGCAGAGATGGTTTGTGAAGCTTTCCACGTGATTCTACTGGAAGGCAGGATTAAGCACCCTGCCTACTAGAGATTACTCTCTTGGTTCGCTTGTTCCAGTCCGAACAGGCAACCTTCAAAATCTCTAGATTATCAGGAGACACTTTTCATCAGTTTACCCAGACCACCGTGGCAGACATCATTAGCATCTACCCAACAGCCATTGCCTCTTCTTCCTGCTAAATAGACTCATTTGGTTCAGGTGGTAGCAAAATGCTCAGAAAAGATGGGCTTCTCCCCCAAACCCTGGAGGATGAAACTTGATTGATTTAAGTCAATCAGAATAAGAGTAATTCCATTCATCTCTGGCAGGGACTGGGCATGTGACATAGTTCTGGCCAATGGGATGTAGGGAGAACACAGCCGAAGGGCTTCTGGGAAATGTTTCCCCCTGTGTAAAGAAGAAATGTATAGGAAGAGGGCCTTGCCCTTCTCTCTCTCCCCTGCTTTGAAACGCTATCATGTAAGAGTGCGCAGGCCACTGCTGCCACAGCCGTCCTGTGACCACCTGGGGAGGCATGACTGACAGACACTCTTTATCATCCCTGTGCTGCAGGGCCAACCCTGAAACAGCCGACCTGGAGGTTTATTGTGAAACAAGAGCATAAATGTCCTGATACGTAAGCTCCTGTGGATGGGGTCTTTTGTTCTTTGCAGTCCAAAGCTTCCAAAAGATGCAGGCACGCTCACTTAGTAATGTCTCACATGAGCTTGACAAGGACTAGGGGTTTTCTGATCATCTCTTTCAACATGCAGGAGGTACCGCAGCAGTTCTTTAAGACAAAGCAATTCATAGTTAAGACTCCTGCTGACTCAACCCCCGAAAACTAGAGCCCTCTCCCTTCCAATGAAATACTAGGAGTTAGAGACTTTGTAATCAACTGGTAATTACGGGGACCCTCATTCATTAGCACCGCTAGCAACACATGACTTGGCTGCTCATGGAGAACGTGGCCTTGGGTGGTGGAAGTGCTGTGGGAGGGATAATGTGTTTAAAGGCAAAGTAATACTTAAGGTGTACGAGTAACAGCTGAGCCCCATTAAATAGAGAATTCAAATGTAATTTTTTTCAGTTAATAAGTTTTAGGACCATTCCACAGACCTGTGCCTATCTGGTTCCATGAAGTTAGTTAATTTTCATTGCATTGTAAATTTCCACTACGTTGAACTTTAATGTATTTGCACCTTTAAATCTGCATGCAAAAATTACATAGGCTATCAATTTGATGAACTCGATGCAGGGATTATGTGATAAATATAATTAAAGCACCGTGATTCCATATTTGCAAAGGCGGAAAGTGTCTTGAAGTGAATATTAGAATTCTAAATTGGTGATTTTTACTCTATGCCAGAAGCAATTTTCCCCCTCTGTGAGTCATGTCTCTGTTATGGTCATAAAAATCATTGGGGAAATTGTAAGCATTAAAGAAGTATTTCTTTAGACTGTACCTTTTAATAATGTGTAAATCAAAATAATCTATAGATATTAAATATGAGGGCTGTGTGGTGTAAACTATAATATCAACTATAAAACACATTGGCAGATTGTGTAGGTATAAGTTTTTATGAGATCATCATTTCATTACTTGCATCGTAGAGTGTGTGAAATTATATTACCCATCCTACCATCTATATAACTCTCACTTTAACTCAAAATCCAAAAATCCAGCAGGCATTTGTAAGTGACTGTAAAGATTCTTAAGTTCTTGATCCCTGTAGCCCACACAAGACTTACGGAGATCAGTCTGGGAGAAAATGAAGAGAATTCTCTAACAGGCTCCACAGCCCAGGAAGTACCTCTCAATGCTGCGAATGAGAGGCCTCAGCCTGAGAAACTGTAGTGACACGTGTACAATAGCAGAGGGCACACTGGACTTGGGCACCAAAAATACCACTTTCCTACCTGTGTGGCTGATAGATCACTAATCCTCTCTGAGCCTCAGTTTTCACCACTCTCAAATTGGGAAAATAGTCCCTGACCTAACTATGTTTCAGGCTTATTATAAACTCCAAACAAAGCAATAAAAATAAAATGCTCCAAATGAAAGCAATTTAGAAATTAGGTAGTGCTTTATAAATGTCATATTTACAATTGTTTTGTTTTCCTCTTTAATCTCTCTAAGGTATAAAAATTGTCAGCAATTTTGTTTCTAAGATAATTCCACTTACAAGTTTAACTATATCAAAGTCTGTTAAATACCCATTAGGTAACCATGGAGGAATAGCAGGGTCAATATAATAGGCCACTACTACGATAGCCTCAATATTTTCCCATATTGTGTCCTTCTGTGTAGTAAACTGAGCAGCTTTATTGCATTAAATAATTGCTTCCTATGATTCTGTCCTTGCCATTCTTTCAGTTGTTCTAACTTACCTGGCAGACATTTCCTGGCCACTGAGCTGGCTAGCTTCGGGTTCTAGTAGTGTGCTTATGAGGTCTATTTCAGACCAAGATCTTAGGGTGCAAGAGCATAGTTAGTAACCGGCTGTACAACAGGTGTTGAAGCTGAAGTTTCAGTTGCAGTGGTGATTGTATATCCTCCGTTCCAAAGCGAAGGTGAGGCAAAGTCTCCACAGAGCAAGTTACAAAGAAACAGACTCCCTGGACCAGAGGGCCCAGGTTGAGGCTAAAAACAAGGAGTCAGAGCAAAGTGGGAGAATGTGTAAGGGCATTTCTTTGGAGAGGAGTGTGGGGATGCCACCGCATTCATCTCAAACCCCGTGAGAGGGGCTGCCCAGGGGGGCCTGCCAGAGACTGCAGTTGGGTGGTCCAGAGGATTGGAGCCTGACTCACTCCTGGGAAAACTAAAGCTCCATGTGACAGCCTGGAGGAGGCTGCAAGGGGATGGGCCTGCAGTCTCAGAGTCACTGGGGCAAGAGATGTGTGGGGTTTCCCTTGGACAAAATGAGGGGTCATCTTGAGACCCATTTAAAGGGGCTGCGGTGAACCCTGAATTTCTAGGGCAGGGAAGGAGTTGTAAGCAACTGTGGAATAGTGCTGCATCCACCCAAAGAGCCCCAGGGGGAAGGTCCTCATTAAGGGGAAACTTCCCAAGGGCCCAGGGAAGACCCACATGAGTTGCTTTAACCATAGGCACAGCAAGGTCAAAGGCAATCAATCCAGGAGGGAGTGATCCTGCCTTCCCCTCTCCCCACTCCCCACCCTCCAGGGCAGGCGGGTCCTAAGTAGCCTCTAGTGAGGGGGCAGTGGTGGGAAAAGTCAGTTACTGCTGGGAAAGTCAGTTACACACCTGCAGCTGGGATCCTGGGGCCGCAGAGAAGCCTCGCTGCAAGTGAAGTTTGCTGCATTTGTTTATGTCTTGTACCCAACATTATAATTTTGGTTGAAATGTAGTTCCTATATAGGACTATCAGTTTCCTAAAAATGAGCAGGAAATACAAAAACTCAACCCAGCGTTCCATCCAAGGGCAGGGAAGATAACAACACTGGATACATTTTAAAATGATAGCGAGAGACAAAAATGAAATTGTATTTTGATCACACAAGTTGTGAATTCAAAATACTAGTTATGGTTTTATATTCAATGGGCAAAGGTCCCTTTGCACAATGGAGTCCAGTGGCCAGTAGAAGGGACTTGATGTGATAATTCATGTTCAGTCACTGGAAAAAAGATCTCAACCCTGAAGAACACAAATACTTTGTTTTAGGCCCTCAAATTATCCAATCGACTAATAAATGTTTATTGTCTGCTATATTTGAAATCCTGTTGGGTACTCTGAAGACGACTGACATTCCTTTAGTGCAGGTTAGTATCATTTACCACCTAGCACAATGCCTTAACACTTAGTATGTGCTCAAAAATATCTTCAATTTAATTATTCTTTACCATATACTTAGCACCAAAGGATGTGGCATTTTCCCAATGTTGACAACAACACTTGAGCTGAAAAATTCCCATATGTGTAAAGTGTGGTGCAAACCTGAATGGAGAGTGATTATGGTCTCACTTGTATTTAACACTGTTAAGTGTTGCTGAGTGGTCTAATAGGAGAGAACAGAATTAAACCAGAAAAATATGTGGGGTTCTTTTTGCCAATCAAGTGTTTTGATGCAGTAAAACAAAATGATTGCCCACGGGAGGCCTAGAACTGAATCTAGGCTGTCACTCACTAGACCCAGAGCCCCTATTTTGTCTCTAGTGAATGGGGATGCCAAGCTGGCTAGCGCAGAGTGGCAGGGATGCTCAAAAAGATAATATTCAGTGTTAATATCCCTTGTAATCTCTGAAGTGCTATCCAAATGCACGGGCTCAATCATAGCAACAGTTTAACATTTCGTTCATTGCCACGTTTAACATTTCGTCCACTGCATAACGTTTTAAATCGATTTTCTCACTCAGTCTTCACCGCCACAGGACCTGGCTAGGTCCTACTATTGCCCTCCATTTACAGATGGAGAGGTTAAGCCACTCGTTCGACATAATACAGTGCCGCAGTCTGAACGAGTAAATCCTCTAACCCCTGAACACTCCGCAGGCGGCAGTCCTACTTGTTATTTATAGAGGCGCTGAAATCTCATCGGGGCTCAACACAGGTGGTTCCGTAAGTTGTAAAAGTAGACGCTTTCCCGCCGGGTTCGTCCACGCGGAACCCTTACTCTCTCTTATCAAGGGATCCTCGCCCTCCCGGCCTGCAGCCCTGACCCAGGCTCCTCCCACGCCTCCGCATTTCTGTGCGAGCGTTACTGGGAGGGGACCTCCTGGCCACCCCTCGCCTCTCCCCCACTCCACTCGCCGGGTTTGGCCTCGCCCCGCCCCGCCCCGCCCGCCCCGCCTTCTCCATCACCGCTGCGCCGCCTCGGGGGAAAACTGGAAGATGAACTGAAGCCCCGCAGCTGTGACTGCCTCCCGCGCTAATCGCAAGTGCTGGGGTCCGGCCAGAAGCCCCCTTTGCCGCGCCCACTCCCAACTCCTTCCCTGGCCCGCTCCTCGGGATTGCCCAGCAGTGACCTGGCACGGCAGCAGGCGCCCCGGGTAGGTAGTTTGTGTACGGTTGCCATGGAGACGTTGGCCGGCCGGTGGGGCAGACGCGCTGGGTAAAGATGCTGCCCCGCCTGGACCAGTGGAGGAGGGGGCATTGTGGGGGTGAGGGGAGCCGCTCTCCGCCGGAGAGGTGAGGCTCCGCGGGTTCACCGGGAACCCCCTCCTGCTGTCCTCCTTTCTGTTCCCAGATGGAGGGGTGGGGCGGGAAGAGAGGCCCTGAGAGTGCGGTGCCTACGCGCTCGGTTGGGCCTCGCTGTCTTTATATCTATACACTGAGCATTAGCCGAGTGCGCGGTACGTACTTCATAGACACTCATTAATATTTGCTGAACCAGAGTAGGGTAGACTAAAGGGCTTTGTCTAGGCAGACAGGGACCCAGTTAAGGTCACACAAACTGTACCTGGCCTCTTCTATGCAACAGACAGAGCCTCGATAAATAAATAAGTGTAGGTGTAACAATATACATTAAAATGTTCACAACATGCCTTCCATCATTCATTCCCACCAGTATCACAGCAGGTCTTCCATCTCTCCCTGATTTGGAATTATTTTACTTGGTAGAAAAGCAAGTACCACTCTTATTTGTATCCCGTTTTGTGAATTTATTATGTTCTGATTAGTTGTTGATTTAGCATAGTTGACATTAAATAAAATATTTAACAAAGACTCTTTGTTCATAAAGGAAAACACCCCTTATTTGAACTTAAATTTTATAAAAATATATGAAAACTCTGAACAAATGCCATTCCTTTTCTTTTGCAATGTATTGTTTGTATTCAGGGAGAAATTCTTGCTGTATTTCTTATCGTGTGGCTCTTGGACAGTAGTAAATGTTTTCTGAGGGCCAGGCACCATGCTAAAGCACTTTACGTGAGTGATGTCACTTAATTATCAAAATAATTCTATGAGGCTATTACTATTACTACACATATTTTACAGACCAGGAAACTGAGGCTTAGAGATGTTGGAATCCCTGCCCTAGGTGATATAGCTGCGAATTGTCAGAGTATTTGAACCCTTACTCCAGCATCTGAGCCCTGAACCACTGCCTCTTTGGATGCTCATATTAACACAAAGGTAATTCAGAATCAGGTAAAGGTCCTGATGATTTGATTTGCAGGGAAAATAGTATGGAAATGGCCAGTCTTTCCCCCGTTGCGAGCATCTTGATAGTTGCAGTATTGCATTTAGCAAGAAGGCTCTGATTCAGGTGTCTGTTAGCACAAAGGTGAAGACAGGTCTTCATCATTAGGTATAAACTTATAAATAATGACTCGAAACTTTTGTACCAACCAGTAAGAAATACTTTGTTTAAAACTGTCTCCAGTTTCGAATTTCCTACCACTGATGGTATTCATCTTCTAGTGGTTCTGTGGACACCATAAACTCAGGACAGCGATGCAAGACAGAACTTAGCTGCTTTCTTCTTCCCCTTCAGAGTCTACTCTCCTGTTTTCTTTTAAAAGGTCCCCTTGCCCTCCTACTCCCTAGGTTGCATACCCTGTATCACCTCTGCCCTTTCCTGTCTCCTTAGATGCCAAATCCTGTTGGATGTTCTGCTCTTGGTGCTCCTCACTAGTTCTCATTTCTCTTGTTACCTCTATTTCACCTTCACTCCTGTATTTAGGACTTTCAATACCTCATCCACAGATCACAACATTTATCGAGTCTTTCTTCATGCCCAGTGACTCAAAGTTACAATTGTTCTCATATGACCACATGGCACCAAGAATCAGATGCCATTTGAAATGAAGTCCAATATGCTTTTCTAATCTACTGTAACAAATGTCTCCAGTTAAGGAAGCCAGGCAGCCTCCGTCTGGGTATTTCCTAGCTCAGGTCTGTATTTGAAAATGGAGTCCAGTCCTGGCTGGTGTGACTCAGTTTGTTGAGCATCATCCTGTGCACCAAAAGGTTGCCAGTTTGGTTGCCAGTTTGATTCCCGATCAGGGCACATGCCCAAGTTGCAGGCCCAGACCCTGGTCAGAGTGCGTGTCAGGAGGCAGCTGATCGATGTTTCTCTCTCTCATCAATGTTTCCCTCTCTCTCCCCCTCTCCTTTCCTTTCTCTCTAAAAATGAATAAAAACACATTTTGAAAATGGAATCCAGCAATTATATGCAATTGTTGACCTTCAGCTGTGCCTCACACGCAGAGCTGGGGCTGAGTCTGGTGGGACAACACCAGTTATGTAGGCACAGTGGGAGGGTGTGCTGACAGAGACGACTGGGGACCTTGTGGAGTATGGAGGACAGGCACCTACCTGAGGCTGGGAGGGTGAGAGGAACGTTTCCATGAGGGCCTCTAAGGTTTGCTGGGTGGTTGTAAAGAGCTGTCTGATTTTGTCCCTTTTAATTTTTCCCTTCTTTCCATCCTGCCAATCCCTGCCAGATCACATCATACCTCAAAATCTTTTAATTTTCTCATCAGTTTTTATTAATTTCTTGACCTGCCATTCAGTTCCCTGTCTGGTCCCACTCCAGTCTTCATTTCCAGAGCTGCTCCTCATTCATCACACACCCATACGTTCCTGGCACTCTGCCTTGGCTTACTCACTGACTTAGAAATTCCTCCTCTACTCCAGCCCCAATGCCAGCCAGTGCCACTTGCTCAAAATCAGCCCATGATCCCAGAACCCAGATCAAGCATCACCTCCTCCAACAAGCCTACCTGCCACCTTCTCCCAATCAGAAGCCCCCTCCTCTTTTGTAATCACATGGTGTGTTGTTTTTTTAATTGCCCCATCAGTTTCTACTTTGTATTAAAATCATTTGAATACAAATAGGGCTGATACTCAGCTGCTAACCACCAAGAAGGCCACTCCAGTTGTGAAAATATGGCATGTCTCTACGGGGGTGTGTAAACAGCTGCAGCCCAAGGCCTCTGATGCCCCCACCTCCTACGACCCCACCTAGTGGGTAGTAGTTTGAATATCATCTCTGGGCATATGTCATAGCTTTTTTTTTTTTTTCTATTGCTTAAGACTCTATCCACCTCACAGAAGTGTTGTGGGGATTACATGAGATGATGTACTCAAGAGTACTTAGCATAGTGCTTGGTATTAAAATAAATGTTTAACTAGCATTAGTGGTCCTTCTTGCCTGAGAGTGAAGATAGTATTTATTCCCATCTGTGTTCCCAGAGATCCAAGCAGAGGGCTTTGCACATAGGAAACAGTTAATCAGTTCTAGCTGAATGGATTTGTTCCATTTCTCAGGAAAATTTTTGTAAAGTTAAAATTTCTGTGGTATTATTGTGAAATACTTTAAAGAGGCAATTTTTTTTTAAACTCTGAGTAATTGGGTTTATTTTAAGTTGGCAAAAACCATCTATGATAAGAATTTTTAATTTAACAAATAAAGGAAAAAATCTCCTCCTCCCCCCCCCCAAATTTACTTCTAACTCAGTTCACTGTCATTGAACATTTTCATGTTTGATTTGGTTAATAATATATTAATATTAACATAATAACTGGTTAACTGTACAGACCTTACATTATTAAAACAGCTCTTCACAGTATACAGTTAAAATGAGATTTAGAAGGGAAGAAAGAAGAAAGGTGAGAAAGTTATGGTAGAATTTGTGGTAAAAATTTAGAGACAAAAAAATTTTAAGTATTATTTGCATAGTTTCCAACACTATTTGGTCAGCCTAAACTCCTGTATGCCCAAATAATTTACAGACTTCCTAGAATGTGACTTGAGTAAATGTTCTGCTTCATTACTGTATGAAAGAGTATAGTTTTCAGTGCAGCCTAGTACAGCCAGGGAGAACCTTAGTCAGGAATGATAGTTCATTATTATTTATCCAAAGCCCTTTCATCTTTATTAGGTTTGTCAGATCACCTTTGGATGTTGCCAGACTTCTTGGTGACATAGGGGGTCAAGAGAGTCGCAAACCTGATTTGGATTCTGGAAGAAACTTGTTTATTGTACTGAAGCTTCTCTTACTAAGTGGTGTAATTTCTTATTGTAATGCGCCTTGCAAAAACAAACAAACCTGGCCCTGGCCTGTGTGGTTTAGTGGTTAGAGAGTCATCCTGCACACTGAAGGGTCTCAGGTTCGATTCCTGGTCAAGGGCATGTACCTGGGTTGCAGGGTCAACCCCTGGTCTCTGTTGGGGAGTGTGCAGGAGGCAACCAATTGATGTTTCTCTCTTACATCGCTGATTCCCTCTCTCTCTTTCTCTCTCTCCTTCCCTTCCTCATTCCCTCCCTTTTTCCCTTCCACTTTCTCTTAAAAAATAAAAAGTAAAAGTAATGGAAAAATATCCTCAGGTGAGGATTAAACAAAACAAAAAAAAGAAGAATCTTCATTCTCAAAGTCCTTGTGTATGACTTTAACTCTTTAACTGAGGTTAGGTGGCCTGAGAAGGGGTAGTTTGAAACTGATATTTGGCTTTTATTAATCTTGAATACTATCTCACACTGAAAGTGATTTGGATCAATCCATTCAAAGGTATGGACAAATGTGGGGTTGAACCTTTCTCTGAGTTTACAAATTATATTTATAAAAGCAAATATAGTTTGGAAATAGACCCTATCTATCTAAATTTAATCTTAATGCTAGCATTTTGTGTGGAGAGCAGTAGGAAAGAAAAGGGAAATTTAGTTTAAAAATTTAACAGAACCCTCCAGTATTTTGGGGGGCTGGTAGAGGATAGATCATTTTTTTGCTTTCTCTCTTTTTTTAAAAATATATATGTTTTTATTGATTTCAGAGAGGAAGGAAGAGGGAGAGAGAGATTGAAACATCAATGATGAGAGAGAATCACTGATCGGCTTCCTCCTGCTCTCTCCCTACTGGGGATTGAGCCGGCAACCCATGATGAGAGAGAATCATTGATCGGCTTCCTCCTGCTCTCTCCCTACTGAGGATTGAGCCGGCAACCGGGGTGTGTGCCCCGACAGGGAATCAAACCGTGACCTCCTGGTTCAGAGGTCGACGCTCAACCACTGAGCCATGCTGGCCAGGCTCATTTTCTCCTTTTAGTCCATCTTCTTTCATGACTTGTCCTCTTTCTCTCCAGGCTGAGCTTTCATTCTGGGTCTCTTCCCGGCATATCCCTTTCCTCAATCACATATATTCCCGTGGGCAAAACTGTGTCTATTAACCTATATCTTTGAAAGCTCTTCTCCCATCCTGATCTTCTAACTGTAACTACCTGGTAGATTTTTAATTTAAATGTATGTATCATTTTTCACGTTTAATATAGAGGGATGATTTAAGCATCTATGGAAGGGTTTAAGCCCTCCTTTCTAAACTACTGGATGAAAAGAGCTGACATGTTGTGCTGTGTATTTGTAGGGTGTGGTGTCTCGCTGAAGAAGGTTTTACTTCAAAAGGAAAGATGCTGTCTCCAAACGATCAAAAGTTAGAGAAGCGGGATCCGTTTTATCGATCTTTAGTGGCCAAGCAGAAGACCAGCGCAGAAATCATAAGTGAAGCACGAAATGCATTAAGAACAGTTGGGACCCAACGGCCATTCACGCCACAGGAAGACCAAAGAAAACTATTTGGACCTGCCTCTTCAAGGACACCAGAAAATAGACCCCCTTCCTGCTTCAGGTATATGACATTTCTCTTTCCTGTACATCCAGATATGTAAGCCACGCGATGACACGTTCCCTCTGACTTCTGCGAATTATACCAATTATATCTCTTGTATCTGTTCAGGATTCTCAAAGATAATTTTAGGCCTTGGGTCCAAGAAGTTGGCTTGCAATGTTAATAGTGGCTGTCATGTCTGTTTTATAAAGCAATATGAACTAAGCTTTTAAAAATCATCATCTGCATTTCTTTTCATTATTCAGTATTTTTAATTCTCCTCAACGCAATGAAAAGACTTATGAATAAAATGTTTTAAGTACTATGATTTGTTAAAATATCTCAAGACTTTTGCATTGAATGCTTTAGTTTTGGGCTAGAGTTAACTAATATAAACTAGAAATAAAAGAAATGATTCTTCACAAACTAATATTTCTGTTCCATCTCCTGTGCTAGCCTCCATGCATCCAATTTTGAGTCATCTGATTCCAGGCCCATTTCCAGTGCACGTCTCAGCCCGCTAGAGCTTGTGAGTACTCAATATCACAAGAGCTGTCAAACGGAATTGGTCAAAAATATTGGTAGAGTATTAGTACATAGACCTAATGCACTAATAATTTAATATGAAAAGGAATTCCTTTATACTTTTTCAAATATAATGGTTAGTATCTAATAAAACATTTTTATTTATCTACAGTTTAATAATAAGAAATTTTAGAAATAGAGTAACCTGGTAAACCAAATGTTCCACAGTATTTTTTAATTCAAAAAACTTATGCAAATATATCATTTTATTTGTAATAGTTATATAAAAATAAAAACATGGACATAAAGAGTCAAATATTTGCTACCAAAACAACTCCAGCAGTCTCCTGTCCCCTTCTTCTTCATTCTCCCCTCCCCAGTGGCTCTCACTTTAAGCTCTTTTGTCGCATTTTCTTGTTTTGTTTTGTTTTGTTTTGTTTTTCATCCAAATTTCTAAATAGCACAGGGTCTTACTGCTCTCTGACTTAGGAGCTCGAGAAATTATCTAATGACTTCCCATTAAGGAAGATGAAGTCTTAACTCTTGTCTATCCTCCCACACCTCCCCACAACACATTCACCCTTTCTGTCCCCACTGCTACTCCCAGTGTAGATATAGCATAATTTTGGCTAGAGCCCTTTCCTCTGATTATATTAACCCTGTTTACAGAGGACCCTTGAACTATGAATGATTGATGATGATCACTTCTTCCCTGCACCACTTTTTGTTTTCCCTGGGATTAATAATTGCCTTGCTTTTTTTGTTGTTGTTTTTTGTTTGTTTGTTTTGTTTTGTTTTGTATTATTACTATTTCAACCCCAAACTCTTCCCCAGTGCTTTAAATCTCCTTCATATATTCAGGCACATTAGGTATTCTGTTGATTCATCTCCTTGGAGAATTTTCCACCCTCCGTCCTGGACCACTTGCCCTGGGCATTTGGAGCACAGCTGGCTTCTCCCTCTTAAGCTGGAGGTCCTGTTTCCTGTATCCAAAGTCCTCCTCTTTCTTGATTCACTGTCGATTTGGTGGAGCACTCCCTCCAATAACTTCCTGAGAAGGGGTGTATGGGAAGGGAATTATTTGAGACCTCAATTGCTGGGTTTTTTTTTCTCTTTCTCTGGAAGTATGTAGGATTTCTCTTTGTTCCCAGTGTTCTGAAATTTTATGATAATGGGCCTTTGCTTTAGTCCATTTTTATCCATCCTGCTGGGCACTTCAATGAGGAATCAGCTCTGGGAAATGCCCTTGAACTATTTTGATATGTCTTCCCCTCTTTTATGTTCTGTTTACTCTTTCTGGAATTCATTGTTTGGATGTGGGATCCTCTGGATTGGCACTTTAATTTTCTTATTTCCTCTTTTCTGTTTCTCATCTTTTTTTTAGAAAAGATGTTATCTTCTAGTCGTTTTATTGAGTTCTTTTCATTTCTGCTATCATATTTTTAATTTTCCAAAAGCTTCCCCCCCTTTAAATTATCATTTAAAAAATACATAGTGTTCAGTCCTTGTTTCATAAATGTAGCTTCTCTACTGCATGTATTAATGATAGTTTTGATTTTTCAGTTGTTTTCTTCTCCCTTTAAAGTTTCTGTTGCGCGCGCGTGCGTATATGTGTGTGTGTGTGTGTGGCTTAAACAACAGAAATTTATTTTCTCACAGTTCTGAAGATTAGAAGTCTGATGTCAAGGTGGCAGCTGGGTCGGTTACTTCTAAGGACTTTTTGCTGACTTGTGAATGGCTGTCTTTCCCCCCATGTCTTCACATGGTCTTTTCTCTGTGACTTGATGCATTTTCTGTTTGTTTGGGTTTGTTTTTCATATTAGAGCTCTCCTCAGATAGCTCCTGCTGCTTGCTTGGCTGCCCTTATTTGAGAGTGGAAGTATGTAGAATGGGTTGGTCAACACATAGGTTATACCTACCCACACCCACATTTATTATTTTTAAAACATATTTTTTATTGATTTCAGAGAGAAGAAGGGAGAGGGAGAGATAAAAACATAAATGATGGAGAGAATCATTGATCAGCTGCCTTCTGCACGCCCCACACTGGGGATCTATCCTGCAACCCAGGCATGTGCCCTAACTGGGAATCAAACCGTGACCTCTTGGTTCATAGGTCGACACTCAACCACTGAGCCACACCGGCTGGGCCCCACACCTACATTTAGAGGGGAGGGATCTGGCTGGGCTGTGTTGTTTATGAAACTCCCAATGGCAGTATCTTTAGCGCTTTCCTTGAGGGCTAGTTAATTTTCTGTAGAAGTGTCTTCTAGGCTCTTGCCTGGAGGACAAAGGTTGGTTCTAACTTCCAGGAATCAGGTAGAAGAAGAAGGTAGGAATGCCTGACATTCAGTGTTTAAATGTTCCATTAATATCTGTGCTTACACAAAGTGCCCTGGCCATCAACTGTGCCCGATTAGCCTGATTCAGAGCTGCTGTTTTACCGTCTTGAGAGAACAAACCTCCCATCTACTCCTGGGCTGTAGCCTGATTATGTAGAGCTGGGAAAGAGTTGCACAGACCTGCAGCCAATCCTTCTGATTTTAGGTTCCCCTCCCTATGCCCCTGCTACTGCAAGTACCAGCGACACCAACTCCTCAGACTTTTATGGAATTGGAGTGTCACTCAAGCTGCTTCTCAGTTTTTGTCACTGTATATGTGTGTGCATGTGTGTGTTTGTTTTTGGTGGACTGTTTGAAAGTAAGTTTCAGACATTGTAAGACTTTACCCATAAAAATTTGTGTGCATCTCTTATGAACAAGGATAGTCTCCTATATAACCACAGTGCTATCATTGAGTCTCAGAAAATTAACATTACTCAGTAATATAATTTAATGTATAGTCCATGTCCAAATTACCAGTTGTCTCAAAATGTATCACATAGTCTTAAAGTACTCATCAAAATGCCTTTGTGAAGAAGATTATATTTGTTTTTATATTGCAGATGATGAAAGTAAGATTCCAAAATAGTATGTGTGAACCAATATGCAATAAATATTTTTCCAGTCATTATTAACATATGGCTTCTTGCACCTACAACCTTGGGTACTACTGGGTTTTGAGCCAACTACAGTAAGAGGACCTCACCTGGGCAGTCCAGTGGGTCTACCTGGTTGTAGTATGGCTCTCTATTCTATAATTCTGTCATTTGACTCCTATCAATCGTTTTTAATATTGCTGTAGTTTTTTAGGATTCACTCCATCCCTTCCCCCACTCTTTCATAAAAATTTGTATTTCTAGACTGAACCTGGTCCTTGTCAAACTGGTACCATTCTGAGACTGTGGGATTGGGTGTCAGACAGAGATAATGTTGGCACTGCCTCTGTTTAGGGTCATTGAAGTTAAATTTCTTTCCTGTAGAATGGTTGGGTGCTAGGTGCAAAGTGAAAATGGGCTAAGAAATCTCCATGTTAAGTTATGTAACTCCTTTAGTTTGAAATAATTTTGTTAATAGTGGATTATGTAAGGGTCTTAAGTATAATTCATTTTAAACAATAAAGTTTGGAGCTCCCAGTCGAGAAACTCTGAAAGTGGGGCCTCATACTACCTGCCCTTTGACAAAGGGAGGAATAAGGGGAAATAAGAGTGGGAGGATGGAGAGGGGGGTAGAGAAGACAGGATAAAGGAGGAAGGTGGGGGTAGGGTATCTAATAGTTAGAGGATAAACTTGCCCAAAGAATTAATAAAGTCCTAACCAATTGAATTTCACACTATTTGGATCTAGGACACTTTCTCGGGCTTGTTTAATAACTCCTCAGCCAGCGCTCAGACAGGAAAGAGGGATCCAGAGAGCAACTCTTTCCAGCTCCTACATTTAACACATCAGCTCAACTCTGCGCTTGCACGCGTACCCTCCTTCTCTGTTTCTCCCCCTGTTTGTCTGTGGGCTGACTGCACTCAGAAATGACCTGGGCTTCAGAGAGTGATGGGAAGACGAATGCTCCTGGTCCTGGCCACTGAGGCCTTGGCTGGCTGGTCTGACTGGTTCACCAGGGTTCCCATTAGCATGAGTGACCTTGTAAGACAGGGGAAAGCCTTGCAACGTAGTCTTCCCTTAACATTTACATGGACCTGCGCTGTAGGAATGCCTAGGCACACCTTTGTCCCTTCTTAGCAGCCCCGACCTTCCCCGACAGCTTTTAGACCAGGCTGTTGTGTGGTGGCAGCTATTCCTGGTTTCATTCTGCAGCTCTGGTTAGCTGGTATTCAGATTTATAGATGCAGGGGCAGCTGCTGTCATGATTTGATTGTAGAAAGTAGGAAAAGGCATGGGACCATGTGAACAAATAGGGAATTGTGTCTTTCTTCACTATCACTGTCAAAACAGAATTATCCCGGTGTCTCCCAACCTTACAAAGCCTTGTTATTTAAGTTCCAGGTATTTTTATTAAACTTTTTATTGACATACAGAAAAGACACAGATCCAAAGGGTGCAGCTTGATAAATGTACACAAGCTCAGCATACTCGGTAAGTAGCACTCAAAGAAAACAGATCGTTGCCAGCCTTTCAGACACCGCCTCCCCATGGTCACTGCTGTCCTCACTGCTCACAGCACATGTTGGTTCGAGCCATAACAATAAATATTTTGCCAGTCATTATTGACATATGGCTTCTTGCACCTACAACCTTGGGTACTACTGGGTTTTGAGCCAACTACAGTAAGAGGACCTCACCTGGGCAGTCCAATGGGTCTACCTGGTTGTAGAATGGCTCTCTATTCTATAATTCTGTCATTTGACTCCTATCAATCGTTTTTAATATTGCTGTAGTTTTTTAGGATTCACTCCATCCCTTCCCCCACTCTTTCATAAAAATTTGTATTTCTAGACTAAACCTGGTCCTTGTCAAACTGGTACCATTCTGAGACTGTGGGGTTGGGTGTCAGACAGAGATAATGTTGGCATTGCCTCTGTTTAGGGTCATTGAAGTTAAATTTCTTTCCTGTAGAATGGTCGGGTGCTAGGTGCAAAGTGAAAATGGGCTAAGAAATCTCCATGTTAAG